TCCCTAAAAACAATCTCATGTTAGGAGCTTTGATCTATCTCGATTTGAATTCAGATGTATGCTTACCAAGGCACAATAATATTCAAAGGTGTCTTTGTTGACGTGAAAAAATTTGGGTGAAGTACTTGTTGATTGCGATACAGTAAAAGCACAGCTTTGATGAGTATGCTTTGACTTTGCTAGTGGTCATTTTCCAAAGTAGCTGATAAGTTAGGAATCTATGGCTTTCATTTTCAATATGGATTTGTGTTTACCTAGGCATTCAATTCCGTCGAAGATGTACATGTCAAAGTTATGGAGTTGAGCAAACTACTTGTTGATCGCGTTATATCAATCAAACATCTTTCTGATAGTATGCTTTTATCTCTTGCTCGCTGTGCTTTCGCTGTAACATGGTCTCATGTTGGGAGCGCTGATTTCACTATTCAAAAGTATGGGATATGCGTACCAAGGCACAAGTGAGTTAAAGCCTTTGTTTAGAAACACCAGATTCCAGGTTTCTCATCTTGAGCGTTCCCGACTTCGAATGCTTTTGGTAGTTAAGCGTGAGACTGGGAGTATCCAAAGTATTGTCTTGCTTTATCTTAAGCTGAGCACTATAAAGCGCTAGTTACTTCAGCATTCTAAGCAGAGAATGTAGTCCATTGACTTGATACAGCTAGTCTTTTTTGACTTGCGTTGATGTTGCTAGCATTCTCTACAAATAGAACAAAGTAATCAGCTAACTTGCAGTAAACAATTCCAGAATGAGATTGTGTCATACTGTAGCGAGCTGCGAACGTAATAATAGTTTGAAGCTTGGGTGAAGAGGATCATTTAACCAAACCCTGTGTGGCAAAAGACCCAAAGCATATAGTCTACGGCTTTGGCATACATTGAAGAAAGAAAAGAAGAGAGCTAAGGAGTAGACTGATTAGTTAGGATAATTTCCAATTAAAAATTTGATAAATGAGACTGATTAAACACTTGCCTTTCCTTTCGTTCAAATTTCGCTGGCTGCGTACATGCACAATCTCTAAAGATTCTGAAATTCCTCAGAGATGAAAAAGTTGTTTATCTCCAAAAGATATTTGGAGACGTGCATCATGTACCAACCCATGACATGAGTTCTACGGCCTCCCTGGAGAAACTGCCACTGCAATGGAAGTCCGCCGCACACGAAGAGAGAGTGAAGCGAAAGGGGTTCCAGACGCCCCCTTTCCACGAGCTACGCCTTTCCTGCTGGACACCTAACAGCACCTTCACACCAATCACTTACCACTTCTGCCACCCAGGCTCTCCCAGGTCTTCCGAGCAAACACTTCCAGAGGCGAAGTGAGCTGGCTTGGCCCATGGAGGGACTGGATTTCTTGACTTTACCCGCTACTCAAGTCTGGAAGGAATCCCCTTTTCCTTTGAGGTACTTCGTTGGAAGATACCTGCAAATGTGTGTCGGCACGCCACTGTACGTCAAGTGCTTCAACTAATTTCTTAGATCATTAGCATTTGAGTCTTGGGCAGTAGGCGTGCCAACAAAGCGAAAGATGAATGGTTAGTCATGCTATTTAATTAGTCTGCGATACCATCAACCACTAACGGTCTATCCCAAATTAACTGGGTGGCAGTTGAGTAGACTTGACAACTGCCACCAGAAGGAAAAGGCAACCGAGAGCAAGGTAGCGAGCCGCAAGATCCGGTAATCCAAAAGAACCAACTACAGTCACACTATGACCAGCTGGAGGCTACGCTACTCTGCCTGGACATTCGGGGGCTCCAGAAGTAGCAAGGACCAGTGATCCAGTAAAGCTAGGGCCAGACAGTACTCGGTTTTGCAAGCAGTCAAGATCGGTCGTACTAACCGATCGACAACACTTCTCTGTAAACAAACAAATGTTTAGTATGACTGGTACTTACAAAAAATTGGCAAGCGTTACGACAATGAAAGGGGTGACTTGCCAGCGTGGCATTGGAAAACCATTGCGAATCCCCAGAGAGACCAGAATAAGGGGCCAATATGGCCCCCAGAGCACAGCTGACACGAGAGACGAGCAGAGACTAAGATATTAAGTGATTAACATTCGCACCAATGTCGTCGAAGTCAATTTTCAGATTCAAAAAAGAAATCATACGTACCACTCATCCCGAAGAATGACGATGGACCACCAACAAGACAGCATTTTTTTTTTTTTTGGCACTAATGGCACAGAAGAGAACTGAAATACAATTTTTTTTTTTTTGATTTTTTGATTTTTTGATCTATAATTAACGACATTGATTAGCAAAACTGAAGAATAGATTGAAGATATAAAAATAGAGGCGGAAATGGTGCTTACTTTTTTTTTTTTTTAACATTTTTTACTTTTTTTTGGGATTGCCTAAAAAACAAAGAAGTTCAGTACTATGAGGTAGGATAGTGTGTAAGGTAGAACCAACACACGGACAGAGATAAAAGTTCAATACTAACTTGTTTTCTATTTTTTTTGTAACTAACAATGTGAAGAAAGAGCCACAGTTAATGAATGAACATTTGTCAAAGCGTTTAAGTTGAGTACTACTCACTTTACAATGCTGTCATGCTGGGGCCATCTGACAAGCTCCTTGAGCTTTTGCGGGAGCGACCCTAATAATGGAGAGAAATTTTACATTGGTGAGTTAGATTTTCTTAGTCAAATTGAATCCAATGTTACTATACTTACAGCGCCCCCGCTTAGCCGGTAATATCGTAGATATTACCGGCTACAGCCTCCGAACCGCCGCCTGGGATCTCCTTCAGTTGGTTGAAAAGGTGAATCAGATGGAATTGGAAATCATGTATGTGTCGCTGGGATGGCAGAGTAGGTACTTACATTCGAAATGAGATCCGCCTCATTGAGGTTTACAGGCGGCGGTTGGAGGCTCTCCTCTCTCTCAGCCCTTGGAGAGCCAGGCTGAGAACTGCCTTCATCCAGAGCTTGGATAGTTTCCAAGCGCTGGAACATATCGATAGCCTAATGATAGAAGAAAGGTTAACAGATATGTATTTTGTCTATTACTGAAATTAGATACTGAAAAGTTACTTACGTCTTCAACGCTATCGACATGCTCGCCAGTGGGACCGTTAACTGGGCTATGCGCGAGCTCTAGCACCAGTGGGGACACGGTCCCACAGCGAGAAGGCATGAGAGGAGAGCTGTCCCGCGACAATGGGCTCGCGGGACGACGGTACTGACCAGCAGCACCGTCATTGGCAGTAGCCAAAGCAAAAGGACAGGAAGGGGCCGACGAAGCGGAAAAAGCAACAGCAGAACGAGAGGGACACGGTAACGCTGATCCAGCAGCGGGGGAAGAGATGCAAGGTGACGGGGTAGAAGATGGACACGGTGATGGTGAAGAGGAACACGGCAACGCTGATGTAGCAGCTGAGTTGTTAGCCCGTCTTTGGGGCAATCTATGTCGGATTCGTCGGCCGCCAGCGGCCGGACGAGGAGAGCAAGAACGAGAAGCAGAAGCAGAAGAGGACGAAGAACGAGGGGAAGGCGTGCGAGTTCGCTGCCGTCGTTGCTCACGACGAGCAAAACGATTGCGAGGAATCGCGTTTCTTGGCCGAGAGGTCCTGGCAAGAAGGGGAGAAGGAGTGGGACACGGCACGGCTGATGCAACAGCTGGATTGTTAGCCCGTCTAGGGCACAGTCGACGCCGGACTCGTCGACCGCCAGCAACCGGAGAACGAGAACGAGAAAGGGGACGAGAACTTGGTCGACCGCCAGCAACCGGAGAGCGGGAACGAGGAAGGGGACGAGAACGAGGTCGACCGCCAGCAACCGGAGAACGGGAACGAGAGCGAGAACAAGAGCGAGAAGACGACGAAGAACGAGGGGAAGGCGTGCTAGTTCGCTGTTCTCGTCGTGAGCGGCGCAAAGACTGCGAGATTGGAGTGAATCGTCGCGAAAATCGATGACGAGACACGGCAATCCTCCGCCGAGGAGGCTCAGAAGGAGTCCTGGGACAAGAAACCAACGAAGGAGGATCCAAGGAGGAAGTGGTCACTTCAGATGTTGAAGCAACCACAGGCGCAGTCACGAGCGAAGGAACAACCACAGACGCAGCGACGGGCGAAGGCACAGCCACAGACGCAGTGACGGGAGAAGGAACAACCACAGACGCAGCGACGGGCAAGGGAACAGCCACAGATGCAGCGACGGGAGAAGAAACAACCACAGACGCAGCGACGGGCGAGGGAACAGCCACAGACGCAGCGACTGGCAAATGAACAGCCACAGACTCAGCGACGGGCGGAGGAACTACCACAGGAGAACGAACAACCACGGGTGAGGCACTAGCCACAGAAGAGCTTTCAACCACAGGCATAACTTCACCAGCCGCCGTGGAAGCTACAGTCGGGCCAGCAAGATGCTGGGAAACATCTGCTGGCATGTTACGACTAGAGTAGCGACCAGAAGGGGCTGTTATCTTCCGGTTGGTAGGCAGCGGCTTGGTGGGAGGGCAAGTCGCCGTCGAGTTGACGCGGGAGAAACGGTCTGGAAGAGAACCACTGGCAGTAGCAGCAGTCGATCGTCTCCGCGAAGAGACAGGAGAAAAGCGGTGGCCACGAATAGACCTAGAAGACAAGCGTCCACTCACAGAACCCACAGGCAAGCATCTAAAAACGGAAGCAGAAGACAAGCAACTGCGCAAAGGAGCCGGTGAAGGCACATGGAGAAGAGATACTTGGGACAGAGGGCCAAATGCCACGTCACCGCAGTACTCATAGTCCATGGCTAGACACTGGGGCACCTCCAGCTCGATTGGCTTATCAATGTCCATGGCTGAACACTGATGCTCTCCAAGCTCAAGTGACTTGTCGACCTCCATTGGATCCCAGTCGAGGGGGAAACGGTCGATGGCCATCTTTCGCGGGCGCCACTGGAAGGGTTTGCGAGGCTGGCGAGGGCGGGAAGGACGGCAGAGCGGGTAAGGCTTCGATTTTTGAAGCAAATATCGCTTCAAAGCGATAATGTAAGCTCGCTGTGATTTCATCGAAATTGGAAAAATTCGAGAATCAAAGACAAGGAACGAAAAAAGAAAAAAAAGGAATTTTGGCGGGCAGTTTATATGTGATTTACTTGTGAGGACACCCGCTTTTCAAATTTATGCGGACACACTATCCTCGTCATTTCATACGATTAAACTTATGTCATCTTTCTAAAGGTTCTGATCTCTGGCAGTAATCATATATCATCTCTCATGAAGCTCGCTCCGTCAACGCCCTCTAGCAAACTCACCATTTCGGCTTTGATCTGCAAGTTTACGTTATTTTATATGAAGACGACTGGATTGCTACTTGTTTGGCTCCACACAGGCAATTTCAATAAATGACAATATGCAATAGTAACTTCTTTTTAACTACGTATACGTTATGTACTTTGGGCTTCCAAAGAATGGATATCAGCTCTTCATATCATGTAAATGAAGGCATTGAGCTCTCTTCCGGACAATGTATGCATATGTTCGAACAGATTTACAGTAAGAGGTATCAAGTGTCACTTATTGTGAGTATTATAGATTTTAGTTATGAAAGAGTGGGATAGGCAACTTGAGGTCTATGATATAAAGTAGAGTATACTTCAGTTTTATAGAAACGACCGGCAACCGAAGAGTAAAAATGCTGTAAATGGGCAATTTACCCCAGAGAACTGCAATCAGCAGGTCAAGCTGTTTGAATACCTCAATACCTTAAAGAAAGATTGCTAGATAAGCTTTCATACAACCTCGGCGCAACATACTCTCCATATCACTTCAACTGATTGATTTGTCAGACCAGCATATTACTTAGAGTACATGCCATCATAAATTGATCATGGGGGTTTATATATGCAGCTTGAGGATGATTTCTGAAGCAGCCGTTAAGCACGAGCTTGCCTTTGAAACATCGAAATAGACCGCCGCCTTAAATTGTGAAGTTCTTTACTGTCATTGGACGATGTGAAAAACAGGTTGAATATCTTTGGTACAAAGTATCCCTGAGCTCTTTAAGGAACGGAAAGTTTGGGAATGCAAGTGAAACAATGGAGATTTTTATTTTTCAACTGATTGAGACTGGGCAAATATGAGCACAAACGTCGGTGTAGAACAACCGATCCGAAAGAAAAAGTAGATAGGCCGAAGAATACTTTCCATAATTTCATTATAATTATTGACTCTTTCAATTAAGGAATATCCAAAGTCTCAAAATCTTAGCCAAAAGCTGCAAGCCCAATGACGTCCAGCGTGAACCTGAATTGATGAAATCATTGTGAGGGGAGCCATGGCCTTTATAGTCATAGAGGTGGGTGAGATGTGTACCGTTGTAAGAACATTGGAACATCAACGTTGCTAAGTCCATCTCCTTCTTTCTCAAAGCGCATCATCATCTTTTCACATAACCTCCCAAATAGTTTGACAGGCATTAATGAATGGAATGCATGGTTTGCAATCTGGCGGCGGGAAAAGTTAGGATGGGGTTTCGTCTAAAAGGTTGTCTGTGCTGAGTTCATCCGCCATACAATGCTTCTTCCAAACATGACCATTCAACGCAACAATGTTTTCCATGCCTATAAATTTGTTGAGAAGCGATTCGCTTTGCATGGAAAAGCTTTCGTGCTTCGGAAAATCGGCTGATCGTAAACTGATAAATGAGTACTCTTGACTCCTATGCCAAATTCGATTTACGATGTGCACCTACCTTTATGAATGAACAAAGATTTTATAGCTGCTGGGCCAGCAACGCAAACGGTCCACCCCCCTCTATATGGCCGAAGGTACACGCCATTTGGCGATCTGGCTAATACTGGAAGGACAATATTCTGGGTTCTAACATCGGCGCTTTCGCTTGAAAGAGCAGACCGCATGTATTTCCAGTATGGAAAAGTCGGTATAAGCAGAAGTCTTTTTGGTATCTGGGCCATTCTGTAGAGCCTATAACTGACGAAGGCAGCCACAGCACTAGCAATAAGAGTGTATGGCGATCTGCGTCGAATAAAAGGAATAATCTGATTTGCATAGATGGTACTGAGATAGTCAATTTTCTGGTTCGTACCGTCTAAAACAGCTTGTACCAACGGCATATTGTCAAGTGAAAGGGAAGACGTAGACTACCGACGATGGACATCACTGGGGCCAATCTTAAATATGAGAGAAAAAGCCCGCTAAAGGTTACCCTAACCCTTGAGGAACGTTGTACCATGCCCTTAGGTCTATGGAAGATCACTGGATGCTACAGCAGGATAACACCATATGCTCATTTTCAGGTCTCAAACTGCAAATGCACCTAGAGGGTTTTTTACATAGTTTTATGCCGGTAAAAAGAGACTTTAACTCTTTTACCGTGAAGATTCGCATATAAAGATGTCAGGTACCAAGTGAAAACCTGAAACGCTAAAATGGTCAGTCCAAACTCAATATCAGTCCATTACATCTATGTATTTATATTCCATTACAGAATATGATATAGGCCAAGTTCGTGGTCGACAATGTCCATTATGAGAAATTTAGGGAAGAGAGTATTTATGAATTGATTATATTATTCCTACGCTTTCTTGGCTTTAAAATCTCTTTTTAAATTTAAGATGCAAATCCTTTGGAGAAATAATGCCCATTGATCCATCTATCACTAAGCGATCTTTGTTGATGGTGTTCTCGGGAAGTTCCCAGGTGTATTTTTGGAGCATCATAGCAAGCAACACCTTTTGCTCAGCCAAGCTAAAGTTCATACCTATTTGAATTTCAAAGCAATTTTCACAGTTAATGAATAGACCATAATAGTCAATCTACGACCCCATGATCCTGCCTTACCTATACACTGCCTAGATCCACTTCCAAACGGTGTCCAGGAAAGACCTTGTCCAGCTTTTGCTTCACTTTCACCTCCAGGAGCAAAACGTTCTGGAATGAATTCCTCGGGATCTTTCCAAAGTGATGGGTCATGATGCATGACAAATATTTCTGCCGACAAAGTGGATCCTTTTGGAACGAATGTGCCTGCGAGATCAATGTCATCGGAGCTTGCTCTTGGAACAGTATTCTGGGCTGGAGGGTCCATTCTTAACGTCTGATGTAGGCAGTTAGTTTTGCTACTCCAGTATGCATGTTAGCCGTTTCCAATTGTGAAGATGCAGGACGATTACCTCTTTCATTATCATGTATATATACTTCATTTCTGAGCATTGGGCAGCAGTAGGGTAGACAATGTCATCTCCATCTCCCAAGATATCGATAACTTCTTTACGAGCCTTTTCTTGTATATGCTGAAATAGATATAGGGAATAGATGTTTAGAGTCGCCATATAAGGAACGAAACTTGCGCCTACGCTGACTTACCGGATTGACCGCCAAGTAATACAAAGCAAAGGAAAGAGCGTTGGATGTAGTATCATGACTAACTTATAAATTAGATCCTTCATTCACCTCAAATTCCTGCGTTTTAAATTACGTACCCTGCCAAGAAGAAAACTGCCAGGTCATCACGAAGTTCCAAATCCGAAAGTTGATGTTGAATATCTTCGCTCTCTTCGTTGGCCTCGAGCATCAAAGTTAGCAAGTCCTTTTCTGAATCTTCCACTAGACCCTTCTTGCTGGCCAAAGTTTGACGCTTACGGTCAATAATGCTATAGAAAAGCTTGTCCAGATCATCCATCTTTCGGTGCAACTGTCGACGCCCTGGAAAGGCCCAAAGAAAGCGTTTCTCAAGAATAGGGAAGAAGAAGAAGATAGGGTTTCGAATACCTTCCATGATAATGTTATAGTTCTCTACCTTCTCATTATTAGGATTATCCAGGGCTTCGAAGTCGTAATCGAAAGCGGCAAGTCCGATTACATCCAGTGTGAAGCTATATTTAGGCGGTAAGAACACAACTTCAAGTCGATAGACTGCACCTTTGAAAATCAAATACTTACCGTTGCAAGAACATTGGCACATCAACGTCTTCAAGACCGTCTCCTTCTTTTTCAAAACGTGTCATCATTTTTTCGCAGAGTCTACCGAACAATTTAACAGGCATTGACCTATGGAATGCCGGGTTGGCGATCTTTTGAAAATAGGCAAATTTGGTTGAGATATAACATGAAGTTTTAGATAGCGAACTTGGCTGTTAGCTTACCATACGGTGCTTCTTCCAAACTCCCCCATTAAGAACCACAATGTTGTTGGCACCACCAAACCTGGTAGTCAATGAATCTCGATACTTTGTGAATCCCTGGTGCTTTGGAAATTCATCTAATCATTCCATGGAATCACATAAAGCACTAGGCGTCAATGTTAGGATTTTCCAGTAATAATGGTGAACTAAAAACTCACTTGTTCGAAGGAATAGAGTCTTCATGGCAGCAGGATTTGCAACACCAATGGTCCATCCAAGTCGATTCGGTCTCAAGTAGATCCCATTTGGTGACTTTGCAAGTACTGGAAGAATAACGTTCTGAGCTCGTAGATCAACACCTTCACCTGACAAAGCAGACTTCATGTATTTCCAGTATGAGACAGCAGGTATATGTCGAAGGTTCTTTGGAACTCGTATCGCCTTGTAAACTTGGTAGCTGAAGAAGGCAGCCACGGCAGAGGCTATGTATGTATGCGGTGATCTGCGCTTAACGTAAGGTAAAATATGGTGAATATAGAAAGAGGTGAGCTTTTCCAGTTGCTTGTCCACATCTTTCGCTATCACTTGAAGCGTGTCCATGATGTTATGTTCTGGGTTACTGGTCTGAACAAAAGATAAGTACAATTGTAGTGAGCATGGAAATTTATTTATTGCATTTGGAAAAAAATGTGCCGGAGCGGGGGTTAGGGGAGTCTCAGTCTCTCGGCATCCTATCCGCTCCTGTGAAAAAAAAGAGTTTCGACAAAGGCTTTGCCCTCTTTACAGCAATAGCGAACCTACAATTAAAAGATTATTGCAAGCCTAAATTTCTTTTCAAAACATATGAATGATGAATTCTAACATTTCATATACAAGAGTGATGTAATATTGCGATGATGGAACTATATCATGCAGTTATCGGAGATTTGAGCAACCGTTAAAACCATCGGTCCGAATTTTTGTATATCTATAGGAGAACGGGATGTTTGCCATGAGACTTTTATGTACAAATGTTTATAGGATAGCAAATTTAGAATAGCCGTGTGAAGAACACTTTTTTTGGATAGCGAGCGCAGAACGATTAAAATCGTTTCATAAACTTCAGATGTAATTCTTCCGGAGAAATGATACCCACACCTCCACCTATGACTATATGATGCTCAATGGTAGAGTTGCCTGGGAGTGTCCATGTAAACTTACGGAGTAGCATCGAAAGTGCCACTTTCTGTTCAGCTAAACTGAAGTTCATACCTGCAGGAAAACGGTTCCACAATAAATTAGTCAGGTCCAAACACAGAGTACTTACAATAACACTACCATTTACCAATGCACTGTCTAGATCCGCTTCCAAATGGTGCCCAGGAAAGTCCTTGTCCAGCTTTTGACTCACTCTCACCTCCAGGAGCGAAACGTTCAGGAAAAAAGGCTTCAGGATCTTTCCATACTGATGGGTCATGATGCATGACAAATATATCAGCGATCAAGGAGGCTCCTTTTGGAATGAATGTACCAGCAAGTTCAGTATCCCTGTTACTCTGCCGTGGAAGGGTATTTTGAGCGGGCCCACTCATACGTAGTGTCTGTAGAAAGATGTACAGATGATTATAGCTTTTCACCTACTGAGCAGCAATACTTTAAGACTGTGTGCCGTTGGATTACTTACCTCTTTAACAACCATATAAATGTACTTCATATCTGAGCACTGTTGTGCAGATGGATAGACAATATCATCACCATCTCCTAGAATTCTAATGGCTTCTTCACGAGCTTTCCCTTGAACGTGCTGCCAATTAAATGTTGAATGAGCTTACTACAGCTGCACGATATCACTTTTGAACAACTAACCTGGTTAACAGCCAGATAGTACAGCGCAAAGCTTAGTGCGTTTGATGTAGTATCATGGCTAATATTGGATGTGTACAACTTGTGTAAACAAAAGCTCTCGTTACTTTCATTAACACAAATACTTCGATATAGGACACATACCCTGCTAAGAAAAAGGCGGCCAAATTATCACGAAGTTCTACATCAGAAAGTTGATGTTGAGGGTTCCCAGTGTCTTCGTTCGCTTCGAGCATCAAAGTGAGCAAGTCCTTCTCTCCTTCTTCAATATTGTGCTTGTTGCTAGCCAGGGTTTTTCGTTTGCGGTCGATGATGCTGAAAAAGATGGTGTTCATTTCATCCATTTTTCGATGCAGTGCTCTACGTTTTGGAATGACCCAAAGGAAGTACTTTTCGAGAATGGGGAAGAAGAAATAAATTGGATTTTGAGTACCTTTGATGATTTCGTTATACATTTTTACTTTCTCGTTATCGGGATTGTCGAGAGCTTCGAAATCGTAATCGAAAGCTGCAAGCCCTATAATGTCCAATGTAAATCTGACAAGCAGCACAAATGAGCAGCCACTTTCTCGTCGAAAATCGTGCATATGCACATGTACCTACCGCTGCAAGAACTTTGGAACGTCGATGCTAACAAGACCATCCTCTTCTTTCTCGAAAGCAACCATCATTCTCTCACACTGTCTTCCAAACATCATTACAGGCATAGATCTGTGGAAGGCTGGATTTGCGATCTGGTAATTATACGTATTTAGATAGATCTTGACCTACACCTGAAGCCATCTAACTTACCATGTGATGCTTTTTCCAAACATCCCCGTTTAATACAGCGATATTTTCAGCGCCACCAAACCGGACTATCAGTGATTCCATGTGTTTGCTGAAACTGAAGTGCTTCGGAAAATCATCTAATCAAGATATGAGATTCTCATCAGCATAAATATATAATCCAAGTTACTAAAGATATAGAATGAAAGAAAACATACCAGCTCGAAGGAGTAAAGTCTTCATGGCAGCAGGGTTGGCAATAGCAACCGTCCATCCAAATCGATCGGGTCTCAAGTAGATCCCATTTGGAGACTTTGCCAGCACTGGAAGAATGACTTTCTGAGTTCGTACATCAATTCCTTCGCCTGAAAAAGCGGATTTCATGTATTTCCAATATGAGACAATAGGGATGTGTCTAAGATTCCTTGGAACTCGTACCGTATTGTAAACTTGGTAGCTGAGGAAGGCAACTACGGCTGCAGCTATGTATGCGCTGGGCGATCTGCGCTTGACATACGCTATGATATGGTGGACATAGAAGGAGCTTAGTTTTTCAAAGTGCTTTTCAGCATCATTTAATAGCACTTGTAGCGAACTCATGATACTCCCCAAATGAAATAATTGAGAAGTTGACTTGAAAGGGCTGTGGAAATCTGGGAGTCATAGCCCCCGAAGGATGCTCACTAGGAGAAACACAAACTTGGGTTAGGCGTTTTCCGTGTGACGTATCATCTCTTTGACAGTGGCTCATGGAGACTGACAACAAACATCGGCGAATGCGGCGAGAAAATATTGACGAAATCAAGCTATTATGAAGGTATTCATTCGAACGTTTTGTTATCTGGTTAAACAAACTATCCGTTTTTCATCACTTATAGGTCTGCTTTATTTAGTTCAGCAGTTATACTTTGATATTCAAGCATAATGTAAGCAAGTCTGATTCCAATGTAAAGAAATCGAAAGAATACAGTAGTCACTTAATATCATTGAAGGATATAATGAGTGAGTGCTGTACCAAATCCGCTTAAAATCGTTTTGAGAACTTCAAATGGAGATCTTTTGGAGAAATGATGCCTGTTCCTCCCCCTAGTACTATGCCATCTTTGTTGATAGAGTTATCAGCAAGTGTCCAGGTAAACTTGCGTAGCATCATGGAGAGCAATACTTTTTGTTCAGCTAAGCTAAAGTTCATGCCTACCGAAACATCAAAGTGTATAAATCCAAATATTAGCGACAGTCAATGGTAGTTCAGAACCCAATACAGCTAACAAATTTCTTACCAATACATTGTCGAGCACCATTTCCAAACGGTACCCAGAAGAGGCCATTACCTGCCTTCGATTCGCTCTCACCGCCCGGGGCAAAGCGCTCAGGAATGAACGCCTCAGGGTCCTTCCAGATGGACGGGTTATGATGCATGACGTATATGTCAGCCGATACTGATGACCCCTTGGGAATAAAAGTTCCTGCAAGCTCAAAGTCTTCCTTATTTAAGCGTAGGGTGGTGTTTTGGGCTGGGGGCTCCAATCTTAATGTCTGAAACGGAGGTTAGTGTGCTGGTATCCTTCAATAGGCATATAATAAGGTTACCTCTTTCATGACCATATAAATGTATTTCATATCTGAACACTGGGACGCATTGGGATAGACGATATCGTCTCCATCACCTAAAACTTCAATCACTTCTTTTCGAGCTTTCTCCTGTATTTTCTATAAATAATCCTTTGTATTAGATCGGCGTGCAACATGAACCTCTGTTAAACCTAATGCCGACAAATAAGTGTGATCCACTCACTGGATTGACCGCTAAATGGTATAGCGCAAATGACAGTGCATTGGATGTTGTGTCATGACTGTAATGTTTAAATAAAAATCTAGTCCCATTTGTTGATTCTTGCAACATGAGCTCTTACCCTGCCAAGAAGAAGATGGCCAAATCATCACGAAGCTCTGAATCTGAAAGTCGATCTCCAGCATCCTTTGAATCTGCGTTGGCTTCAAGCATCAACGTTAGTAAATCCTTTTCTGCATCTTCAGCCGATTCTTTCATGTTTGCCAGAGTCTGACGCTTGTTCTCAATAATGCTATAGAAAATCTGATTCATGTCGTCCATCTTCTTGTGTACGGCTCGACGCTTAGGTAGTGCCCAGAGAAATCGTTTCTCGAGGATGGGGAAGAAGAAGAAGACGGGGTTTCGAAAGCCATCCATAATAGCGTTGTAGGTGCCTACTTTTGCATTGTTTGGGTCATCGAGAGCTTCGAAATCGTAGCCAAATGCTGCAAGGCCAATGACATCCAATGTGAAACTGAGGCGCAATGTGTTTGAGTATTGGAGTGATGTGGCTTCATTCTCGAATGCACTTGGGGTAAAACATACCGTTGCAAAAACATGGGGACGTTTACATTATTAATGCCATCTCCCTCCTTTTCAAATTGTGTCATCATTTTTTCACATAAACGACCAAACAATTTGACAGGCATGGATCGATGGAATGCGGGATTGGCAATCTAGTTAGGCGCGGTTATCATATTGTTTAGGCGGTTGAGTGTTGCAGGTATAAGATAGCCTACCATACGGTGCTTCTTCCAAACACTGCCGTTCAAAGCAACAATGTTTTGTGTGCCTATGAACTTGCTAAATAGTGATTCTGGTTGTAGAACAATACCTTGATGCTTTTCAAAATCATCTAATCATATCGAACAGTCAGTGTTAGCACGCGTTAATGGTAGCTGCATACAAAGGAAATGCCTCCTTACCTTTTCGAAGTAGGAGTGTCTTCATGGCGCTGGGACCAGCCACACTTACACACCACCCAAATCGATTTGGTCGTAAGTAGATGCCATTCGGCGAGTTCTTAAGAACTGGAAGAATAACGTTGCGAGTTCGTAAGTCAATGCCTTCCTCCGACAACGCCGATCTCATGTACGCCCAGAAGGGAACAGCTGGTATATGCCTCAGGCTTTTTGGCACACGTACAAAACTGTAAACTTGATAGCTGAAGAAAGCAGCGATGGCAGCAGCTATGAAGGTTTGCGGAGACCTACGCTTGACGTAAGGCAGAACATAAGTCGTGTAGAAAGAAGTAAGCGTTTGCAGTGGCTTATTAACATCATTCAATAGCATTTTCAAATCCATGGTATTTTGTTGACGATATAAAAATGTGCGAAAAAGGTGAAGGTGAAGCATCCGTATGCGTTTTAAAATCATGATGAAAACGTTCGGTAGGGTTAGGCGTATTTGACGTCTCACCAGTATGTTAATTGTTGTCGCCGTAACACAAATTCATTTCTCTGCACGGTTAGCAAAACCTCCTCCCACAGCACAGTATCTTGTACAGCACTTCCGTACATAGGTTATTTTCAACAATCCTATCAATGTTGTATTAAGGCATCTCTTCGATTCAAAGCTGATTTAAAACTTATGCATCACACCTGCTTCCCTTATACGGGGGACAAATCAACATGGTCTGACTGGCAGCGCTAAAATCATCGGCCCGAAATGGTGACTTTATTCCTATTCGCTAGACTTCAAAATGGGGATGGCAGTATGTTTACTTGGATGCAGTACCCCGTTGAGTCATATATCGGAAGAAACTCAAATAAACGCTTCCTCACAGAGGCAAAATCTGATCAGGCTTTGCTGCCACGGAGTTGGCATAGCCATGCCCAGGTCTCCCACACTAGCTTGCGTTATTTCCGACATTGAGCTTTGATAGCATCTAGAGCAAAAAGAGCGACGGGATAAGGCGCCGAATTTCGTTGCAAAACATTGCATATTTACGACTCCAGACTTACCTTATACATCGGCGTATACCATATGCGTTTGTTACAGCTGTGTGCTGCTGTGTAGCATACATGGGATTTATAACGTTCATTTCGCCAAGTAAAAAGAAAGACGGCGAAGTGCACGTCCGCTTGTGCTTTGTCGTCAACTCTTGTAGGGCTTGTAGTTTATCTTTGGGTAGCATGGGCTTGGTAAGTAGGCTGAATGTTGATGCTAAGAAAGGAGAAAGATTAGCCATACCCCTCTTACAAGCCTCCTTGCAATCATGTTCACTTTGAGATATTTACCATCTGTCTGCGGTTTCCCAGATTTATCAACGTCATCCAGATCGAAAAGGAACTCCACCATCGCCTTTATAGAGATAGCGTTGTCTTCCAATATGCTTTTGATGTAGCCTTCTAGAACTGGCTTATTAGGTGGAGCTAAGGTTGTGTTACTGACAAATGACGCATATCGATCAATCAACAACAGTAGCCTGCGAATGCATTCTCGTGACTCCGGATGCAACAATATGGCGGTTGGATTTGGTGTAGTTGTTGCTCGTTCCACGGCTAAATAGAAGATACCAATAAGCGTCATGATGCACTAATAATATTTAAACTCTGTGCTTACCATTGCCATTTGCAACCTTACGGTTAAACAATAGAGACCACGCCTGCATGACCGTTACAATATAATCCATGACCCAAGATGATAAAGGAACCAATGGCCACAGAGTTGCTGCAACATGTTACATTAGATTTCCTGCAGCTAGTAACAGAAAGGGTTAAAATTATCAACCAACCTATATCGAACTCCAAATTGATGTCTTGTACTTTCGTGACATCCTTCAGGGCTGCATTCGTAGCGGAAATGGTAGTTGTTAGCTTTAAATGAGGCTATGCATGACTGTACAAGCCGTGCTTCCAACTCACCAAACAACCGAGATATGGCATCATAATCAGATATACAGCTACTCATTAAGCATTCTAGAATAGCATGCAGCTGTATGGAATCAAATAAATTGCGACATTGTATCCTCTTTGAATTTGTAGTTCTACCAGCAGCCGAGGTTAATAGGTCGGAATAATAAAAGGCGTGCTCATCACTTGATGTACTAACCTATATATTGAAATCAGGAAGGTGAACAGTTGCACCAGCTGCGTGCTCGCCCACATTTCTGGAAGTGTTGTATCCTTCCTCTGTTCGCCATCCTCCGATTTGATTTCCAGGTCCGAGGTATCAAAATCATAAATATGCTCATACTGTATCAAAATGTCTTGAACAAGTTGGTCCGCAAAATCTATGGGCAAAAACATAAATTAAACCTCATATTTTTAAGGCGGGAAGTGGTGAAAAGTTAAATTGTTTTCACACAAATACTGACCATTTATATTATTTTCCTTGATAAGTCGAGCAGCCTCTGTAAACAGATCAGAGCAATCGACATGGTTCAAAAGACCCAACACAAGTAACTGAGTCAATGACTCCTTCGTCCCTGTGAAAGAAAAAACGATGAGCTGCACTGTTTGACATTCACCTTTTCAAACCTGATTTAAAACTCCTACCGCGTATATCCGGTGTCGATTCAATTAACTGGTCGCTCGTTATTCTTCGTGATCCCAATTTGCCCGATGAGAACATGTAAATCAAGTGCGTTTCATTGGCAGATGTTACTATGTCTCGAACAGGATCATCCACACCATCGTCAAACTGATGTACGCCAGTAATCTCCCAAAAACTGGATCCAATGATACTGATATCATCGTTACTCGAGGTCCAATCCTCATTCGATTTGGATACTCCCAGTGTTGCGCTGTCTCTGTATTCCATTTGTATACTGCCGTCGCTGAACCCAACTACCAAATCTCTGTTGGCATCTGCCGCTTTCAATACTGTGATGAGACGATCCGGGACAGAGTGGCCATATGCTAGTTTAAGTGCCTTTGTACACCGCATGTGGGTTAGACATGTTTCAGGTCGACAGTCGCGCTGTTTCTCAGCGCCATTACCCTGCGACTTACATTTCGTCCTGGTGTTGCAAAGCTTGATCCGTGGTTAGCTTCGGGTAAGAAATCGGCCGGTATTTGCTTGCTGGTCTCTGTTAACTCCCATACAGCTACAGCACTGTTGTACGTAGGTTGTGTCTCTCCCATCATATCGGTAGTATTGTCATCAATCTTTCCGATGGCGAGGGCTAGGCGGACATGACTTAAACCCTTTACTAAAAGTAAGTGAGTGACAGAAGAGAATGGGTCTTGCAGGATACGAAGTGACTTGTCCACAAGGGGAGCCGTTAGGTGGATTTGCGATATCGGCTTGCACGATATGACTGGTAATATATAAAACAAGTGTTCAGCTGCGCATATCCAGCGGAATGGACTTGACTATATGAAGCACTACTTACTGCCCTCCTTTATCTTTAATGGAAAGGTGATTTGCAACTCTGTCAAGTACACTTCTTTGGGCTTACTCGAGGCATTATGAGAAGCCAGGTATATTTTACCATCTGCAATATTGGTACAGGATGAATTAAATTGACTGAGAAGGATCTACAATATGATTCGCACTTTCCGGAATGAACTTACCAGTATTCAGTAAAAGTGAAGCATGAGAGATTTTGTTCCATGATCTACCAGTAATCATACTGAAATCCAAGATTTCTTTTGATTGTTGCTTGAAGATGGTATACGGTGCTGTTTGCTTTCTCTGTTTCTGTTTCATCAGCTGTCCAGCGCATAATAAGCTTGTAGAGAACGATGAAAAGATATTGGAGTTGCGTTGATAATGTACAGTAATTTCGCCACTGACCGTCACTATCAGGAAAGCAAGGTGGCCAAACGGATTGCGCGGTCCTACAAACTGATCCAGAACAAATTTCTTATTCCCTTCTGGATTTTGAGTCGCAGAGTACTAAATGGTTGGATTAGAATGCTGTCTCAGCGCTCTGAAAATAGATTATATCTCAATGTTTTTTCATACCGATCTTTCGCTGTTGAGCCATAGAAATGCTACAGCTGGTTGTTGTAGATGATGACAGTAGACATTCGCCCACGAGCGAGTTGACTGAAGAATTATGAAGGATTAGGACTATATCCGAGATTCACTATGGTTGTTCCTCGGACTTACAGATTGTTCCCAAATAGCCAGTCTTCCCGTTTCGTCAATAGTAGCGAGGTAGTTACCACGCTGATTCCATTCCAAATGGGTAATTGCGTAATGTCCGTGGTATTGCTGAGCCAAAAGTAAAGGCGTTCTCTTTGGCTGACTTTTGTTTGTATATGTGTTTTCGGTAATGGCTTCTATAGAGCATGACGATGGAGTGGGTTTTTTGGTGGCAACGAGAATGTTGGTTTGAGAGCACGCTAGATTTGAGTAACCGCGTCTGTAAGACAACTGAGAATGCAGCACCCGTACTGGTTGCGACTGTGAGAGCACTTCGTCAGCATGTCGCCTAGTACTGTTCGATGTCATCGCTAGTGTAATGTGTGGGGTCACAACTACAGACGTTGAGTCAAAGCTGAGAAATTGCGGAATGAAACGAATGCTTCAGCTTTAAGCAATGGAACCTGAACTCGAAATTAGATCAGTGGCACAAGCCACTTTAACTTCCCATGTTAATAAAAAATAGGGGTTTCTTAAAGACATTGTACTGAATATTGTTACATAAATAATTACAAAGGCAAGGCTAGATTTACTTTTAAAATACTGAAAAAAAAAATCAATCCTTTCCAACAAGCAATGCTTCTTTTGGGGATGTTTCTAGAACTTTGCTCTGCCGTAAGCGTGCAATTCCTTTGCCAACGTTCTCGATATGAACTTCCAATGGTAGTGAGTCAGCGATGATGATGGGTCGAACAACTTGAGATCTAAGCTCTTCCAAATCCGTCTGAAAGGCAATCATGCGGTGCAACATCAACTGTAGCTTCTCTGCGGCATCCCGACGCTGAAGCTCAAAGTTGTTGAGTAACATCATGTTCTTTTCCACTAAAGGTCGTCTCATTCCTTTTCCAGAGATCATATTGAGAATGTCAGCGAGAAGACTTGGTCGATGTTGGTCTTGGAAATATGCTTCTTGTGTAGTTATTTCTTGTATGGAGTACAAGTCCTCTTCCAGTCGATCAAGACAGCCTTGGGCTTCCTCAATGGCGAGAATCAACCTAGCTGCTTCGTCCTCTGGGTAAAGAATGTCAGTAAAAGCGGTTGTATTCACATGGTCAACCTTATGTTAACCAGGCTCTACTTACCAACTAAGCCCATCGACGTTTCATATAACTTGCGCAATTCCTGCTTACTACCCTTCTTGGTTTCCAAATCATGAAGTTTTCTCAAAATAAAACTGTTGTAAGTAATAAGATTATCAATGGTTCCTTTCGTTTTGGCTTGAAGTGACTGATGATACAATATCGTTAGAATGATAGCGTCTTCTAAACAGTGCTCCATGGTCAATAGTGCTTACTTGGATTTTCCTTCCAAGGTCTCGTGATCGTAACAAGTAATCGCCAAGCTTGTCATCCAACAAGTGAGCGCTGCCCAATCCTGAGTATTTAATCATAACTTGCAAATCTCTGGTGGCTAACTCGACTTTTTTGAGTTCGATGGCCGAGATGGTGTCTGGATTATATTGGGAGGTCATCGTCTCGTACAGGTTGACTTGTTTCTCCACCAGCTGAGAAAAGTCAGGTACCGGTGCGCGGACATCTTGACAAAATGGAATGTAGGAACCCCAAATGCTTGGACATATTAACGTTGTGACTGAATCTGTAACTGTATTGTATGTGTATGAAACCATGGCGGCCAGTATTGCTCCTGCCAAGAGCCATGAGAGTATCGGTTTGATGGTGATCAATGCACCAACTATGACGTCTTTAAAACGCGAAACAATAAGGGAAAGAAATCAGCTAGAGCGTTGCATGGCTGAACGTTTCGTTCCTATATTTACCCTTGCCATAAGATATTATGGTTTGTATATGCTTAGTCGGTTGAATATTGGTTTCTCCATGAGTTTTTGGAGGCATAATGTAAAAGTTACAGATCTAGGTTTAATTCACTGGCTAGCCCTTATTTTGGCATGAAAAAAATTCAAGTGCCGAAAAAACTACCAATCAAACCCAGACTCTTTTCCTCAGATTGACATCAGCATACAAAAATCCGAAAGAACCTTTTATTGTTGCTCTCTGCTGGAAGTAAGTGTATATATACTCATGGAAATCATTTTATGTGGTATAAATGCTTAGATATAGAAGGAAGTGAAATGAATTAATTGAAATGAAATGAAATGAAAGAAAGAAAGAAAAAGCGGGTATGTTACATTGCAAACAACTAGAGCATGAGAGGGAAATATTGTTTCGCACAAGTTGTTTACCACTAGCTCTTCTATGCCTCAAACTAAAGTTGTGAGGAAAGATATGTCGATATCCAAACAATGGGGCCATCATTCTTCAATGTGGTCATGCTATAAGGTTTTTGATTTATGTTGCTCCTGGGCGGAAGCGAAGGTAGAAGTTGATCTTTAAAAAAAAGAAGATATGTTCAATACGAAGTTGACCAATAAAAAAGTATGTATCAAAGGTTTTCACTTACAATGAGAGCAACAACAACCAAGACACAAAGAACTGCAGGTCCCCACAGATCGTCATATCTGCCGTCAATTTGTCTATTGATCATCCTGAAAAATATAACTTCGGATTAGCAAACATGTAACAAGCGTATTCATCTTTCCATTCATCTCCTTACCATGCTCTTCTTTCGAATCTATACAACGCATAAATGGCAATGCATGCAGCAATACCAATGAAAATTCCTCCAGTTATGCGACTGGTGGCATCACCAAAGTTGAGAAGATTAAGGGCAACCGTCAACAACAGAGCACAAAATTGCAACCAAGATATGAATGTACGCTCGTTTGCGAAGAAAACCTTGGGTTCCGCTTTAACCATCTTCTTCTTTTTGGTAGCATCAATTTCCACAGCTTGGCCCATTTTCTTAAGCTCGCTGCCACCGCCCACATTTGAATCTTTACTTTCGTTGCGTGCAAAGACACTGGCAGATTTTCTCCAATACGACTTGTCGTTGGGGCTTGAAGATGGTTTTATATTGAAGGCAGTGTCCACCATAGAAGAGAAACGCTTGTCATAGACAGCTGGAGGGCTTGTGTTAACAAGTGTAGGGCGAGAATCATGCATATCCACAGCAGTAAAGCCAGCACTTGTACTGCTGGAGGGTCGTAGCATAGGGTCGTATGAATTGCCAGTGGACTCGCTATTTCTGCGCCCTATTGGAGTGGGCAGACTTTTGCCTCCCGATACCGCTTCCGATTTCTTGATGCGCTCTTCTTCTTCCAATACAGCGCGTCTGTATTTGCCGTCGATAAGAGGCTTGAAACTCTTGGAACGAGAAAGACCGGCATTTTCACTGCGTGGCTTTCGGATATCGACACTCATTTCGGACAGCCACCAAGGCAATAGAGGAATTTTGTCAGGGTAAAAATGAGAAGCACCATGGAGGTACTTTGAGAACCTTGGAACTTCATGGACAAGATGGGAATCCAACAAGGTTGTCAGCCATTGTGGCGGCTCTTGACCTAAATGAGTTTGAAGTTTTGTTTCCAGAATGGCATATGGGAAGCGAAGAATATCCTTATCGGGTACATTGGGGAAAGGATGATCGATACCAACATCTTGTCGGCGCCAGTTGTTACCGATGCGTCGAACACGGCCATCCATGTCATCTTCACGAATGAAGGTCATATCGGTGTCCAGCGACAAGCGAAGTCTTTGGTCTCCAGGAAGTTGGAAAGCAGTACGGTTATAGAAGACTCGCAAGATGGGCGTCAAGTGCTTTTCTTCAAAGGATTGTTGAATTCCTTTGGCAATGAAGTGAGCATCCTCAATTTGGGCACCATCTGCACCTTTGTCGCGCATTTCTCTTGCAATATCATCAGCAGTGAGTCGTCTACTGACGAATGAATTAACTTGGGGCTCCTTGAGTCGGAAGCGATCTTTGACGGAAGCTCCATCAAGCCATGGTGCATGATGGGTTTTTCTTTCAATAAAGATATTGGGAGAAGCCACTGGGCCATACCTTTAGATAATGAAAACAACATGAGTAAACATTGAAAAAAAAAATATGGCATGTAGGCAAATAGGCAACGGCAAGAAAAAAGGCTTAATGTTTCACAAAAACGGAGGTGGATGCACCACCCAAAGTAAAAATGTTATTTTTGACTTACCATCTAAAGCGAATGGCTTCAGCACCTTCATCACGTTGCAATCGGCCAGTGTAAAGGTCAAAGTCATAATTGTCATAATAAACACTTGAAATAGCTGAATCACTTGCTTCAAACTTCTTTTCTTGATTGAAAATAAGTACAGGAAGATGCAACATGATAATCGCCTTGACCTCGGTGATGTTGTCGGGGTGGATCCAATACTTGCTAGTCGCACGCTCAAAGGCGTTTTGGTCTCCGCCCGCGGCTGCATTGCCGGTTCTTGTCTGACCTCGCGTGCGACAGAGATCGTGTAAAGCAGAGATATACACAATAGCAACGTCGAAGCGCTGCTTGTCAAGTGGCTTTTCTCTCAACTGTCGCACATAAGTTTGCTTCAGATCCAGGCCAGTCCATTTGTCGTGCTTCTTCAGAATTTTTTGAAAGCCCACGAAGTTGACGCGAGTGAATTTGGCCAAATCATTGACATCGAAGAGAATTTCAGTCAATGCTTCATCCATGATGGTATAGTTGGTTTCTGATGACATGGAAGGGTTTTTTTGTATGGTTTGAATGGTGCGTTCACAGTATGTAATACGTGCATCGATTTCCGCCAACTTGGCATTAACGAAATCGTGTACTTTGCTGAGTTCGTTATCCAAAAGCTATAAGCGGTATGCCAATAACAACGCTTGAGTTAAAAAGTGGTCTTTACCTCAAGTGGAGTAGTAATAGGAAGGTGGGGTGGGATAAAGCCACTCATGTACTAACCTGTATGAAATCTGACTCGTCTTGACTGGTCCATGGATGGTCCTCCTGGCGAGACTTGAGTTCCATTTTCAGAACATCGTATGCCATATACGACAGGCGCCATGGTGCAAATACATTTTCATGTAATTCTCTTCCGTATTTCATCTAGAATGGAGTGCGAAAAGGACAAGTGCTTGAACCGATGGATACGACTGAGTGAGAAGAAGGAGAAGGCAGGAGAAAAGGAAATGAGGGACTTTATATCTCGGTAAAGAGAGATGAAAGTAAAAGAAAGAGTGCGATTTGAAGGGGCAGAAAGGGATTATTGTATTTAATGCCCTGTTTGGTGTGTGCTCTCATACGAGGTCGGGTGCACACACATGATGTCGCCTCACCCTATCAAAACGGCAGGAAAGGAGCGGAGACACAGCCACTGACTGTAACACATTGTTCAAACTGCTGGTAAATTTAGTCTGTGGAAGCTTCAGTCTGCCTCAGATATTTATTATTATGTGCTAACTACTTCTTCACTGCATGCGGAAATCTAAAATCACCTGGTAATTACCAGGAGATGGGTTTGATGGACGTTTTCATCAGCGTCACATCGAGTTACCTCCTTGTCATTGATTAAGAGCCCCACTGTACCCCTGTTCTAATGATTTTTCTGAAGGAAAAAGGAAAGTAAAAAAAAGAATTCAACAGCTTCCAGAGCAGGTTCTCCACTGGTCCGCGATAGGCAGTACATACACTCTTTACCGAGAATCGTCCCAAAATACACTTTGTGTCTCCGCACAAAAACTTTTTTAGTTAAAAAAAAATATGGCTTTGACTTTTCACGGAAAGGAATCGTCGATACCGTCACGGAGTGATGTGAATACAGCATCATCCAAGAGACCTATCCAATGCTACTGCATCTGAACGGTTGTAAGACAGAAACAGTTTTCACTCTGAGAGAAAGACCAGCGTAGTTTGAGCATAAACAGCTTGGTAGACCTGTAAGACGGCGATGGTTTTAAATCTCAGGGGTAAATTTTGTGGCGAGCAGAAGGTGCAATCTCACACAAAACGGTAAGGAACAAACACCGCGCAGTAAGCAAAACAATACTGTGTCTGAAAGGGTTTAATGGATGAGTCGGTTGACGTCAATATACTAGCGCAAGTACTGCAAAGCTTGGGTTTTGACATTTTTTTTTCTCTGGGCATCGCATATCCCTTCTCTGCAAACGCGCCCTTTGAACTTGAACAAAATTAGAAAGTGTACTATATAGAAATTGAAAATAGATATGAAAAAAAGTGGGCCAATAAAAGAGAATTCTATGCCACCACAGCAGAAAGAAAGCATTCTTGACTTTCTTTTCTCTAAACGTATGTGAGCCTGCATACTTTTCCGAAACATTATAGGGCAGAATGTCCAAAGCGCAAATAAAAGTTCAGCACAAGTGCTCCAACAAGCAACACACATAATACAGCAGGGCCCCAAACATCATCGTAGCGTTTTGTGCTCTGATGACGAAGTTGCCAGCCTCGATATTGATATCGAATCTGAGCGTAGATCGCCAGCAGAGCGGCAATGGCGATGAAAACTGCCCCAGACACACGTGAGACATTGTCTCCAAAGTTGAGGAGATTAAGAGCAGTCGTAAGGAGAAGAGCACAAAATTGCAGCCAAGAAATAAATGTTCGTTCGTTGGCGAAAAATGCCTTGGGTTCAATTTTGACTTTCATTTCCTTAGCTTTCTTCTTCTTGGGAGTAGGGACAACACTTGTGGTTAGCGGAGAAGATGGCCTGCGAGCTTCGAGATCGTCCTTATTACGTCGAGGGAAGATGCGTCCAACACCTGACCTGAGACTACTCTTCTCTGACGAGTATGGAGGTAGCAGACTTGCTGACACCGTTGCTGAGTCCCTACGAAACATGGAGTTGGGTGTAGATGATCCACTGGGTCCAAGGTTTAAGAAATCAGCCGACATAAATTGATCGTGTTTGCTTAAAGCAGCCATATCCAAGACCAAATCATTTTGATTATTATCGATGGTTTTAAGGTGATCGATGCTTAATTGTGTAGAAACAGCAAGCGATGTACGACCGACATCCAAACTTTTGCGCTGTTCAACTTGAGCTCGGTAGTATTTGCCATCCAAAAGCGGTTTGAAACTCTTGGACCGACCAAGCCCAAATTGATCAGTGCGCTCCTTCCGGATGTCGGTATTAACCTCTGACAGCCACCAAGGTAGGAGTGGAAGCTGTTCTTTAAAAAAATGAGAGGCGCCATGCAGATATTTTGAGAACCTAGGGACTTCATGCACTAAATGAGAGTCCAATAATCGAGTCAGCCATTGTGGCGGTTCTTGGCCCAGATGTGTCTGAATCTTGGTTTCGAGCACCGCGTAAGGGAAGCGGAGAATGTCACCTTCAGTAACATAAGAAAAAGGATAATCGATTCCAATGTCCGTTCGACGCCAATTATTACTTGGACGACGCAACCGAGCATCAAGATGATCTTCACGAATGAATGTCATGTCCGTATCCAGGGACAAGCGCAGGCGCTGATCTCCAGGAAGTTGGAATGCGGTGCGATTATAAAACACGCGCAAAATGGGTTGCAATTGCTTTTCCTTAAACGATGTTTGAATGCCGGAAGCGATAAAGTTAGTCTCGTCCGCTTGCTCAGGCGTACAGTTTTTGATGTCGCTAACGATTTGATTTGGCGTTAGCTTTCCACGAACAAAGCTGTTAACTTGATGTTCCTTCAGACGGAATCGGTCCTTGACGGATGCTCCGTCCAACCAAGGTGCATGGTGAGTTTTACGTTCTATGAAGATATTTGGGGATGTTTCTGGTCCATAGAATCGGAATCGGATAGCTTCGGCGCCGTCATCACGTTGTAGGCGACCAGTGTACAGGTCAAAGTTATCATTGTCATAGTATACCGAGGAAATGGCACTATCGGACGCTTCATAATCTTTTTGCTGATTAAAGACAAGGACTGGAAGGTGGAAGAGGATGATAGCTTTTACTTCAGTGATGTTATCTGGATGAATCCAGTATTTGGCAGTGGCCCGTTCAAAGGCATTCTGGTCACCTCCGGCTGCTGAATTTCCGGTACGTTGGCCGCCACGTAATCTACAAAGATCATGAAGAGTTGAAATTCGCACAATGACTACGTCGAAACGTTGATTGTCTAATTCGTATTTTTGGAATAGGCCGACTAGTTCATGTCGAGCATTGAGTCCCGTCCATTTATCGTGCTTCTTAATGATCTTTTGGAAGGCAAGATAATTAATTCGGGTGAACTTGCTTAGATCATTGACATCAAACAATATCTCTGTGAGTGTCTCGTTCATGCTGCTGTACACTTGGCTAGTCTGTTCATTAATACTGGCAAGGCCAGTGTTTGCTACCGACGTAAGTACTCGCTCGCAGTATGAAATGCGAGTTTCAAGTTCGGCTTGTTTGCGAGTGATGAAGTTGCCAACTTTATCAAACTCAATTTCAATAATCTGTGGATTCACAAATGGCAAGGTTAGGTCATAAATCAAGAAGCAAATTCGGTCAACATCAAAAAGAATGGTGATCATCAATGCATGCGTTTCAATTGGGTACTTCAGACAATTGGCTCTCTACCGTACCTGCTTAAAATGAGATTCATCGGTCGAATTCCATTTGTGATCTAGTTGTCGTGCTTTCAAGTCCATTTTAACACTATCATACGACAAGTAGTCAAATCGCCATGGATCAAAGACATTCTCTTTAAGAGTGACACCGAATTTCATGGTAGAATTTGGTCGCTATCTGAAAGAAATTTCTATGCCTACTGAAAGGAAAGGAAGTTTGAAAAGGATGGTATAAAGACCAAATGTAAATAGAATGAAAGGGAAATAGGTTGCTGCACTCAATAACTATCAATTATTTATCTCACGGAGGCAAGTCCAAGAAAAGAAAAAAGGTAATGATCAAAATCGTTAATAAAGGAAGGAGATATTGAATTATATGCTGTGGCCGATCCTTTGCGTGTTTTCAAAGGAGTTGTAAGATGAACTTGGCTGGTTGAAATAGCCTGTTAATGATAATTACGACAGCGTTTTTGATGCTTGCCCTGATGTCTATTACGGGTGAGCAAAATCGTAACACTCTCCTTGCTGAAATCTCTCTATGACCCCTTTGTGGCTATCGCGTGCAGTCATCAGACACCTTGTGCGCTCTTGTGTCCTATATTTGTTATTATAATAATACATGTACTTTCAAAAATGAGGGATGATACGGGAGAACAAAAGATACTGGCTTAACATTTTGGTTGCTGTAATTCAATTCATGGCTCATTATTAATTTTTATTGGGCATTTGGATAAGGATATACGATCTTGGGGATATTTTATAAATTGCTGAATCAGTGAAAAGGGGACTTTTGATTCGTTTTCAATGACTGGTTGCCAAGACAGCTCTGTTTGCAAAATAAGGCAACCCCCACCTTTTACCAGTACAGACTTAAAATAGGGACAAGCTGCCGGTCCGTTATGTTGCCTTTTCAGAATATTTATAATCCCTTCAACTGGGTAACAGTTTGTCTCCTGGCCAAACTCCTAATGATTTTGTGAAATTGGCGCTATGACAAAAGAGAGGCGCAAGAGCGAAATTTAACGTTCTATGTGGATCGGTATTTGTCGTATCAAGGTACCGCGTAAAACTTACACAACACGAAGAAAAGTGAAACAGGTACGTGGTTTCCCCATTGTTAGGTACTTTTGGCAAATGGAAGACCTCACGTGTGGTCGCATGTTTGCACTTGGTTGGTACTCCTTAAGGTACACTACCGTACGAAGGAAACGAACATGAGATTGATAGCTGACTATGATTTATAACTATACGATTAAAGAGTGCCATAAAATTGAGTCAGACAATAGCAATAACCAGAAACAGGTGGGAGTCATTTCAAACTGATGAACGTCATTTATGCGTATTTTGTTTGTGTGTCAATAGGATGTGCAAAACAGCTGAATCTGCTGAAAAATAAACAGTGTGAAAGAACGGAAAATCAGTCATACCCAAGTAATAACTTGACTGTACGAAAAAAGAAAGTGCCTATCAGCAATTAGAGCTAGAAAATTTGTCAAGGGCGATCCGTGGGGCTTTGGACCCTAGGCTTGATTAATAGGATGACTGGGGGCTGAGTCTTGAGAGAATCGCAAATAAAAATTGATGATGAGAGCAGCAACCAAAAGAATGCAAAGAGCTAGAGGGCCCCAAACATCGTCGTAGCGTGCAGAATTATGGTTTCTTAGTTGCCAAGCTCTGTACTGGAATCGTATTTGAGCATATCTGTATGCAAAGTAAAACGTTAACATCATTTGCTTGGTCCACGATTAAACAATCCCATTCTACTTACATGGCTAAAACTGCTGAAATAACCAAAAAGATAGCTCCAACCGTTCTTGAGATGTGATCACCATAGTTAAGCAAGTTGAGTGCCACCGTCAGGAGCAAGGCACAGAACTGTAGCCAGGATATAAAAGTTCTTTCATTGGCGAAGAACGCTTTAGGCTCTATCTTCTTCATGGGTATGACAGGCCGGATAGGTCTGCTTTCGACATCTTGATTTTTCTTCCTTAATTGCCAAGTGTTTCGGAAATGCCTCTTCTGGCTAGCAATCTTATGTACAAATCTATTCACGACATATGCCGCCCTTGACTTTGTGTCTTTTTCTTTTGCACCATAGCCTCCATAAGTTTCTCCGCTTAGCTGGTCGTCCGATTCAGAGCCGGTAAGGTCGATCCTGACAGAAGGAGATGCATGCGTACTCTTGGCAATGGTAGAAGCAGCTGTTGTAGCAGCGGCAGCAGCCGACGCGGCCACAGCAGTAAGATAATCCTTTTCGAGTGAAGCACGGCGTCTTCCATTGACCAATGGCCTGAGACTTTTGGAGCGAGAGAGTCCACAAGATATGGTTGGTTGCTTACGGATATCAACATCCATTTCTGATAGCCACCATGGAAGTACAGGAGTTAGATTGTTGTAAAGCACAGCGGCACCGTGCAAGTACTTTGAAAAGTTTGGAACTTCATGGACCAAGTGGCTGCTTAACAATCGATTGAGCCATTCTGGCGTTTCTTGTCCAAGGTGAGTTTGCAACTTGGTCTCCAAGACAGCATAGGGGAACCGAAAGACATCCTTTTCTGGTACTCTTCGGAAAGGGAAGTCGATGCCAACATCGGTTCTTCTCCAGTTGTCATTTTTTCTACGTTGCTCACCGTCCAAATGATCTTCCCTAATAAAAGTCATGTTGCAATCCAAGCTCAGCCTTAACTTTTGATCTCCGGGTAACTGGAAAGCCGTACGGTTGTAGAAGACTCTGCACATAGGGCGTAGTCTCCTGTCTCGAATGGATTGCTGTATACCGGATGCAATGAAGTGGTGATTCTCAATGGCCACCTCATCAAGTTTTCCCTTACGTCGATGGTCATCAGCCAGCATGTCGGCGGTGTAAGTGCCTTGCATAAATTCGTTGACTTGAGGCTCCTTCAATCTGAACCGATCCTTAACAGAGTGGCCATTCATCCAAGGAGCGTGGTGAGTCTTGCGTTCAATGTAGATACCCTTTGCTTGCTCGTTTCCATACCAGCGGAACCGGATAGCTTCTGCAGCATCAAGACGCTGGAGTCTCTCAGAGTATAAGTCAAACTCATTATTGTCAAAGTAGACGGATGACACAGCGGAGTCGGCCTCTTCGTAAGGTTTGTTCTGATCAAAGATCAAAACAGGCAAATGTAGAAGGATGACAGCTTTGACTTCGGAAATATTATCGGGGTGAATCCAGTACTTGGCAGTTGCTCTCTCGAATGCTGTCTGGTCTTCTCCTGCTGCCGAATTTCCGCCTCGAGCTTTTCCGCGTAGGCGACAGAGGTCATGAAGGCGAGATACACTCACAAAGAGAGCATCGAATCTCTGGTTGTCGAGAGGCTTCTCCTGCAAGCTTGTGATAAAGGAATTGGTCATGTCGATGCCAGTCCAACGGTCGTGCTTTTTGAGGATCTTGCGAAATCCTGTCCAGTTAAGTTGGGTGAATCGGCTAATGTCGTTCACATCCAGCAATATCTCTGTGAGCTCGTCATCTATGCGACCGTATGGGCTACTGTCACTGTTATGGTTCAGGCTGTCCAGAGAACGTTCGCAAACTTCAATTCGCCGCTTTAAATCGTGGATACGTAGAGATACAAATCCATAAACTTTGTCCAATTCGCACTGAAGCAATGCTCTGAATTCAATTTCGTCGTTGTACGTCCATTGATGATCCTGTTGCCGGCTCTTGAATTCTACCTTTAGACGATTGTAGTCAATGTAGGATACTCTCCAAGGCTCAAAAATTTTTGAAATCAACTCTTCTCCGAATTTCATTACAAACTATTTGTAGCTGTTTCGAAAAAGGTTAATGGGTGGATAAATAAAGAAAAATGTAATAGCAAGTGAAAGAATTTGTGAATGCGATGGAGTTAAAGATCTTGTGTGCGTGTGTATATCTTTGTTAAATCAATTCAAATAGGAGATGATCTGAAGGGATGAAATTTCGGTGATGACTAGTCTAGCAGAAAGAAGAGAGGAATCAGGTGAAAAAGAACTCGATGAAAGATGATAAAATTATAGCTGCTTTTTACGGTTGTATAAAAATATGAGTAAGCTCGCAAATGAGTTGGAGCAAATATGAGTATCACAAACGAGGTCACCTAATGTCCAGTCGCATACACGCGGTCAACAACCTATCAAATTCAAGAGTTGAATAATCAAAGCAGATTATATCGGTGTTTTGCAGCAAACAAGGGATTAACTTGTTGAAAATTTCCAATTTGGCCGGCGTAAATTGCCATCACAAGCTCAATTTAGATGGCTTTTTTATAATTCAAAAATATTGGCAAGCTGAGCAATTTACAAATCAATTGAGGAAAAAACACGGGGGAAGTAACATCACCATATTGATTGTCGCTGATTTTTTGGTCGTGGGGAAGAAGACAAAATCCCAAATGCATTCGGGAGGAAATTTTTTTGGGATGGAAGTTGCCTAGATGACTGTAATTTAGTCATGGCACAGACCTTGGAGTTACCGCATTATTATGCCGATCTATGTCTACGCGCCTCCTTTATTGTTTATTTTCTGTCAAGTTACATTTCAATGAAACCGGGATACGTTCGTCTCCCTAGCATGTCACTTCTTAGTATATTCAATGCATAAGCATCCACCTTTTCCGTCACGCTGCTTTTATATCTGATTGTCCTCCATTGAGGATGTCAGCAATACTACTTTGCGATAACTGTCGATCATGCAGTGGGTAGGCTGCTTTGGCAGGTCTTGGTTCACCTTTCACAATGGTATCGCGAAGTCGCTGTGTCCGAAAATGCAATGGTTTTTCAGGGTCATCGTATGGAAATAAAAACTTTGACGTGATTTCCTTTGACATGACTCGAAGCACGAAAATAAAAATTATCTTGCAGAGCATTTTCAAAATTAATATCCCTTCATGTAAGTTAACTAATTATTATGATCATGTACTTACATCAAGTAACAGGTTGATGCAAAAGCTCACAGCTACTGCAGCCATTGCCAAGCACCATTTCAGTACACAAAGGTCTTCCGATAATACTGTCTGATTAGTGAGAGGGTCGTAACTCATTTGTTTACATTTTTGAACAGTCTCAGTACGATGTGTGGCTGTCATGATTGTGTTTGCAATTGCTATGATGTTCAGGGCACAGCAAAGTATAATATTCGCCCATATTGTTGAAGAAATCAATTTTGGCGATTGCTGTTCAAACAAATGTGAGCCATTAGTCATGAAAGCATATTTCGCGATAGATAAACCTTCTATTACTTACAAGATATATGGACATGATGGAGAAGGCAACCATGAGAGAGAAAGCAGCGTCCATACCAACGTAGAGATATACAGAGACACCTGTTAAGCTCGGAAATGAGACTGTTCACACAATGGTACAAAAGATGTGTTAACAATAATTCACAACAGTCTGTTATAAAAGCTTTCACCTACAGGTCAAGCCTTGTAAAGTGAATAAAGTTGTCCATAAGTTGAATGCTCCTCGCGTCTGTGAAAAATGGTGATTTGTATTATTACTAAGTTCATGCTCAATATGTTGGACGACGGATCACTAAAGGCATACCACTAGTAGTGTTCCTAACATCAAGAAAATGGATCTCTTGTCGATGGTGCTGCAATTTGAGCGTTCTCTAGCCGACTTTGTAGCTGTTCTGGCACGAAATAGCATTTGATTTTGAGGGAATGGAAAGGAATGGTATAGGTAATGGATAAAGAAGCAAATAGCTTGTGTTGTAGACTGCGATACATGCCAAAAATTAAGCGGTAAAGATTCAAGTCCTGACCAAACCTTTAACAAGTCAGTCACTTCGATGAAATGCCACCGTGACTACTTGTGCATTTTTCGTTATCCCTGTAAGAACACACAAAGTAAAACAAAATATTATTCAAAGTGAGATAAAAAATACGCCTCTTCGTTTTGAAGATATGCGATTTCGTACAATACCGTTCAGGATTAGACAGCGGAGACATAATCAATGCATAAATTTTCAGACCTTATTGAACAGTTTTCTTTAACATGAGAATTGGAGAGAGGCAGAGCAGTATTCTCAGGCTATCTGAGTCCATCCACTGATATTTTGGTAGACGTGTGACATATAGTAACGGTAACTGCTGAAGCAATCAAATATCTTTTGGGCTGCCCATGAACCTCCATAAGCCACCTCAAACAGGAACGGAAGCATTTGTGACAGCTTTCAAAAAAGTAGTAGAATGTCCGTGTCTCTGAGAAATTTTCTACACCCTACCGAATATGAAGAGATCGGATGGCCGAACAGAAGCGACACAACTGAGAGCATTCGCAGCTTCTCAGAGTTTATTGAACCGAGCTGATGGATCTGCAAAGTTTTCCTTTGGTACTGTGAAGTGTTTGCCTTTTACTATGGTGCATTTTTATGACGTCCATGTACTTATCCATTAGCACTTGAACTCATATTTAGGAGAATCAACCGTTGTTGCATCCGTAGTTGGGCCAGCCGAAGTCAAGATTCGTGACGAAAAGATGGACGAGGCTACAGTGGAACTGATCGTCCGACCAGCAGTTGGGTTTCCCACCACTAAAGACAAAGTCCTCGAGCGCGCCTTACGACAAACAGTGGAACCAACGATACTGTCAGGCATGATGCCACGAACGCTCATACAAATCGTAGTACAAATAGAACAAGTCGACGGAAACATATTATCAACCGCCGTCAATGCCATTTCTTTGGCTATGCTTGACGCTGGATTGCCCATGAGCTCTCTGGTAGCTTCGGTAACGGCTGTAATAGATCCACAAGACAACATTTTACTGGACCCCAGTTCCCAAGAATTAGAGGTATGGTGTCTAAGTGAGGGTATACGTTAGGGTTGAGACGATTACTGACTTTATATCGTGTTAGAATGCAACATCTGTACATACTTTTGCTTTTGACAATACCTCATCTTACAACTTACTTCTCTCACACTCTGCTGGAGCTTTCAGCGAAGATCAGGTAAGAATGAACTCCAATGATCAATCAAAATTTAGTTTAGCCTACGAACATGTGCTAAATGCTTTACTGTACATAGTACTTTTCTTGCATGGAGGCGTGTAAGCATGCATCAGAGCGCGTGCATGCGTTTATTCGAACGGCTGTGGAGAAGAAAATACAAAAGGAGTATCAGCAACTACAATCATCATAAAGAAATTGTCTATTTGTAATACAAGTTTTACTTTTTTATTTATGTTGTTGGAGATGCTCGCAGAATGGTGATTTACTATACAATTTTGGCAGTGTATGGAAAAAGGGGTTTGGTAGGATATTGTTACAAGGCTGGAAATGGTATGATGAGATAGGAAGGATGAGAACTTGTTTACATTTCCGTCTCTGTACTGCTTCCATGAGATACATCGGATACCGTGTTTTCGACGTCTTCAGTATCGGTCTGTGTTCGGGCGTCATCACTCTCAGTCTCATCATCCTGCCTTTCGTCGTGGCTTTTTAGAATATGGTATATTAAGCCTTCACGAGTTGCATAGCGCTTGGGATGACTACAGCGCTGAAAAATGCAACGATATGGCTCCTCTCCTTGGTGAAATTCTACTAGATGCTTGATGACATTGGTTTTGCGTGGGAAACTAGCTCGGCAGCTGGGGCAACGTAGCGGGTCGTAAACGGCGTTCAAAAGGACCTCAGACGCTGCTGACAGACTAGGTTTACGCCTTCTAGGTATCTTGGTAGGCCATTGCAAGACTTTGATATGAGGTAACGTGCTACTAGCAGCAGATATTGTGGTATCGGAATCCGGACTGGCTCTGCTAGAAGACCCATTATCTGTCAGCGAAGGACGATGTTCCGTAAGGACGGGAGGTTGCGTACTTGGATGACGACTATAATGTTCGTCTGATGGCAAGTCTTCAGAAACCTGGTGACTTGTTTGAGTATACAATGTAGATTGATCTGGGCTATGCGCTGTGTCTGCCAATGAGCTGTTGTTAAAATGATCGCCAGTGTCTTCTAAAGAGTATGTTGGTAAACTATCTATTGTGTAAGATGCTTTTGATTGACTAGGTTCGCCGGCAGCAAAATGGCCTTGCCGTGGACCTCCGTGATGTAGTAAGGAAGGATTTCGTGGTGGTCTTCCGCGACTTCTCTCAACAATATGCGATTTGGATATATGAAATCGGAGACCGCCTCGTGACTGAAAGGCCATATCACAATGTGGGTGCATGCAAGGAAAGCGGGGAAGTGCTTGGTGTGCTGCTCTATTATGGCTGTCAGCTTCTTTTTGGCTCAAAAAAGTCGTACAGCATATTGGACATACAAGAGGCGGATATACCGCTTCAATTAAGTTGAGCAAAGACGCATAGCAATTTTGAATGGACAAGTTGTTTTCTTCCAGTTTTCGATATTGATCTACAGGCAGTCGCTTAAGAAAATCTTGATTGTTGTGTTTGTCACTTTCCTCATGATTTTCGGCTGGTATTCCACGTTTAAGAAACGTCGTTAAGGAACGATTGCGCTTGCCCAGGTCCGTGGCAGGTTTGTCATTCCATATTGGCTTTATAGCGTTCTTAATAGGTGGACGACCTTTTGGTCGTTGCCCTGGTATAACTGTTCCCTTTCGTCGCATAATATTTAGAGTTCCTGTAATGAGAAACTCCAATGATGCAAAATGGTAATCTCGGCAAAAGGAGTGAAATCTGTTGTTGATTCTTTTTTTCTTTTTTTTTTTTTTTTCTATCAACGCTTTGGCCCGAAAATTGTCCTCAGCC